CACTGCCTTCCAAACCACATAGACCAACATCTTCCTTGAGCCTGAAGAAARAGAGAATGTTTATCAAATCAGCCTGGGAGGGGCAATATTATGAGTGGCTTAGACGTGGAGCTGGGCAAGGAGATGGAAATATCTCTTAGGRTACTGGGAAGAAACACAGCTCCAAGGTAAGACTGAGTCCTCTGTCTCACACAACTCAGAGCTGAGCCCCAGCACGCCCAGGCTGTGATTTAACAGATGGTGGGGGAGCACTGAATGAGAATGCAAGGGAAAGGGAACCTCACAGAAGTTTATTTCTAGATGGAGAATCACAGAAGGAGACAGAAACTGAAATGGAAGATACATTTAGTACTATCCTGGCTATTTGCATAATGTAGAAGTATCACAAAGTAAATATTTTCAGACAGCAGTCCTGCCTAGGTCAGAATTTTTATCTGGACCAGTTGCAGTAAGAAGGGAAGGTACCAAGTTCAGTTAATAACCCAACATTGAAATACTGATTCAGATTTGTCATAAATTACTTGAAGAGTTCAAAACTAGCATCCAGGAAATGGGGTTTTTTTGCATTATGAAACCACTGTCTGGTTACAAGTCTGTTCTTAAGATTTTTCTGTGTTGCACTGCACCTGCATGAGGAATAGATCCCTTCCAGCTTCAACAATTTTTAAAATCTTAATTGTAAGTCATAGCACACACTAGAACTTCAAATAATATTTTCAATCATGCAAGATAACCTTCATTAAAACCATTTTGTGGGCAAAAGGCCACATAGAGGAATAAAACATTTCACCAAAACTTTGGCAGAGAGCTTAAAAGGAGTATAAATTTCTCATTTATAAGAAACATAATTCTCTACTAGAGAAGATTTTTTTTCAGTTGCTTTCACGCATTTAACAGTAGCTGAAGCAGAGGCAGATTCCCTTCCCTGCGAGCATCTCTCATCCAGGCTATAACTGAGAAATGAAATAACCCAGAAGATGCAGTTAGAGGAGCACAAGAACTGTGGAARGGAACTTGAGGGGGGAATTGGAAAGGAGCTTAAGGGTCTGTTCCTATTTCTAACACAGTTTTTGAGAGTTCTGTAGATCCTTTCAGATCACCATGCCCCAGAAGAGCAACTAAAATGAGTGGTTATAGATAAAAGTGTATTCAGAACAAAATAGCAGCAGCACAATGYAGTAAAATGAATGTATTCTGATCCTATGCATGTAATTTCAATCTGTTACTTTTCAAGTTACTTTCAATTAATGGGTGCAATGATTAACAAGCTAGAGAGAARCAACACTTGCAGAAGCACACACTTGTAACATCCTCTCCACACATTAAAAAATTCCCATTATAACTCTAAGAAACAAGAAAAAAATGCTGCTCTTTCCCACATTTCACCAACAAATTTAGGTATTTTAGTGAGCAACAACAGAGCATTTCAAACAGGCAAAGTATCCTGCACATAAATCACAAAAGAACTCTTTTTTCTCAGCAGCCCATACCATATCACAAAGAAAAGCGATGTAAAGARAAAAATTAACCACGCTTTCGCAAAAAGGGTCACTGCAGTTGGCTTCTTTCCCCTGAACTTTTGAATCCCTGGGCTAAGCACGAAGGTCTTTCATCCCCCAACACAAGACACCAGATTTCAGCTAACTAGAAATCCACTTCAAATATTACAGACTTCCTTTCCAAATGTCAAGGTTGTTTAGTTAATCAGGAATAACAACATTCTGCGGAATAAAATTCCAGTGCAAAACTGCAACGGAGCTGCACGGTCCTCGTGTGCAGTGACATAACTGTGTCCACTTCTTCAGGCATTTAAACTGTGCCATCCCATTTATCACCACAGTTTTTGTTATAATAGCAYTGTTTTTTCCCTCTCAAATCATACTGCCTAGGATAAAAATCCCTATCTGAGCCCTAGCAGTTCRTAACTATTGTGCTGTACTGAAAATTAATAAAAGAATACTGCCACAAAAATCAAGTCTTCAGGACTAGACATCCCCACTGTAATAAGTTGCCTTAGGTTACACCAATATTTACAGTCATAAAAAGGTAACAGACTTGTTAAGACGATATCTGCAAAACATGAAGAAGCAGATTTTGGACAACAACAGATTGTGCACAATATCAACTTGCTTACGTGAGCCTGTCTAACACTGACAGTTCATACATTCACCTCGAATCCTGCCTAACTGCAACCAACTTGATACCCACAGGTTTTCCAAGTACAAAAAAAAATCAGCAAGCACGAAGTTCTTTACCATCAAGCCAGAATAATTCTAGCAAAAGCCACTTCCATTGTGCCCTGCAGCAGCCCAGAGATGACAGAAGCCGGGGATGTTTACAGGTCCCATATGAATAATTCAGCGTCAGCATCAGCAACAACTCCCCGGCACTGACAGCGGCCGCGATGCTCCCCCGATACGGAGCTGTGACCGCAGCACATCCTCAGGAACCAACGCACTCCTGGCCGAGCCTCCAAGGGGACGATTTTGAAGAACTGACCGTTTTTTAATTTTTTTTTTTTTTTTTAACTTGCACTTTTCCTGTCCACAGCGCAAGGATGAGCACCCAGCACAGCGATACTCTGGGATTTCTCCAAAAACTTCCCAGGGAGGGCCACCTCTCCGTGCCCCGCCATCCCCCCGCGCACCCGCAGCGTCAATGGGGGAAAAGCCCCGCGGGCACCGGGCACCCCCGCCCCTGATCCGCCCAGCCCCCGCGCCCCCGGCGGCTGCCCCACGGGCCTCCCCCGGCTCCAGCGCCCTCCCCGCGGAGCCCACAGGGCTCCGTCCCCGTGAGGAGGGAGGAGGACGGGATGGCCGGGCCCCCGCCTCTTCCCCCTCCTCCCCCTCCTCCTCCTCCTCCTCCTCACAGCGGAGGCGCTCGGCCCGCTGCCCCCCGGGCTTCCCTGCTGGGCTCCCCGCGCTTACCGAGGCGCGGCGCGGGGGCGGCCGGGACGGCGGGTGCCGGCGGGTCCCGGCGGGGCTGGGCGAGCGCGGCGTCTCACCTCACCCTCAGCGCCGCCGCCGCCGCCATCTTGCCTCCCCTCCCCCGGCCCCGCGCGCTCCGCCCCCTCCTGCCAGGTCCTGMCAGATACCGAATAAACCGCGGCGCCGTGGCTCCGTACCTCGCACCGGCCAAGGTGGCTCACCCCTTTCTCCCGCTGTTTCAGTGCGCGGTGATGCACAAGCAGCTACCGCCTGAAGGATACCACCGGAGAGCGCGGCGGTGGGAGGGCAGGGCGCTATGCCCCTTCCAGGACCGTTGGCCGGTGCGGCGGGGAGGGGCTCCTTCCCCCTCCCGCTGAGGGCCGGGGGGGGCGCGGCCGCCATGAGGCGAGCGGGGCTCGGCCCGTGAGGGGCAATCGGTGCTGCCGCGGGCTGGGAGAGCCGGGGAGCCGCAGCGCCCCGCCGGACCGATGTAAATTGATAATAACCCATAACGGGCCYGTGCTGATGAACGCGGCCTCGGGAGCCCCTCACGGGAGAAGTGTCGCCCGGAGCCCGTCCGGTCCCTCAGGGCTCTTCCCGCGCCCGTCCGCGGTGCCTCCCGCGCTCTCCCTGAGGTCGGGCCCTTGGTGACGAATGACTTCTGAAAATGTGAGAGAGGTTTAAGTCTCATTAAGTGTCTGTTCATTCCTCCCCCGGAATGAGAGGTGTGTAATTTGTTCCCTGCGTTCTCAGGAGTTTCAAATCTGCACGGCGTTGTACGTGCAAATGTGTAACTTAGGCTGTGCTAAAAGCGCAAATGAATCTGTGGTCAGTTTTACTATGGGAAAGRTATACCATTAGGCAGGATTAAACTGTCTCATTGTCACAATTTCCATTAAATGGAGAAGCCGTGCCCGCATGTGCAGGTCGGGTGCCCACACAATTACTGGTTCAGATTAAAATGCTGGGGCTCACCCTGTGGCAAACGGGATCGGTCAGAGAACACGTGTTATACTAAGGATTGTGTTATTACAGTAGTTAAAAGTGCATGCTTGCAGTCTGTAATCCAACACAAGCCATTGACTCTCACTTGGAAATTAAAAATGTTCAGATAAGAGCCAGGGAAGACAAATCAGGTGTACGCCTGGTGAGATCTGAGCTGCTCCTCTGAACTCTTCTGAATTSTTTTCACTATTTATGCTTTAATCCACCCAGCTCCCACTCTCCACCAAATGCTCTGTACACTTGTCTTCCATATTGCCTTTTCGTCTGGAAAAGTATCCAAGCCATCGTGCATCTGATTCACTGTTTCATGTTTATTTTAATGCTTCCTGTCTCCTTCTGCTCTGCAGCTTACTCCGATCGCTGACTTCACTTCTAAGCCATATCCAAAAGTTTCTTCCCTTAAAACCACACTTGGGATAGCCCACAGAATGTGTATGAAGATAAGCCCCTCCTGCCCTGCTTTTGAGCTTCGCCTTAACCCACGGCGCAAGCAAGCAGCAAGCAAGTAATAAAAGGTACGCTGAAAAGCTCAACTTTTGCCACTATTAATCCCTGTGGAGGTACCAGCAGGATCAGGCAGTACGGCTTTCCCCAGGGAAACAGCCCGTGTTCAGTGCACACCCGCGGGCCCCGCTCCCGGCTGGGACCGTGCCAGCTCTGGCCAGGACAAGGTCCCGCTTCTCACGGGTGGTCCTGGGGCAGCAGTACCGGGACACGTTTCCCGCGAAGCCCCGGAGCGGCAGAAGCAGGACCCATTCCCGGGATCCCCAGAACGGCACGGGTGAGCCCCCTATCTCCGGGAGCGGCACAGCCCGAGCTCCGTTTCCGCGGCAGCGACCGAGCGGCCCCGCCCCGAGGCGGGGACSTGAGGGGAACCCTTTTCGTGCCCCGGAACTTTC